TTGTTGAACCTTGAAATATAAGCATTATCTGAGAGTTTACACAGGAGTACCACAGACTAAGCACTGCAAGACAATGGAAGCTAACCGAAGAAGTAGTTATAAAAAAGGGTAGTTGTAAAAATTCAAGATGACAAACCATCTATGTGGTTTTTACTTTTGGACCAGGAGGAAGGAGGTTTTGAGGAGTGCAGCGGGTTCTCACCACTGAGGTCCAAAATTTTTCAGACATTGAATGAATGTGGAATGAAAAGATAAAAAACAAAATAATTGGGGCACTGGGTGGCTCAGTCAGTTAAGCATCCATGTCTTAATTTAGGCTCAGGTCATGTCCTTACAATTTGTGAGATTGAGCCCCACATCGTCAAGCCCTGCATCATCAGGCTCTGTGCTGTTAGCTTGTGATTCTCTCTCTCTCCCTCTGCCCCTCTCCCACGCTCATGCCTGTGCACACTCTCTCTCTGTCTCTCAAAATAAACTTTAAAAATACAAAATAATTGGGGCGCCTGGGTGGCGCAGTCGGTTAAGTGTCCGACTTCAGCCAGGTCACGATCTCGCCGTCCGTGAGTTCGAGCCCCGCGTCGGGCTCTGGGCTGATGGCTCGGAGCCTGGAGCCTGTTTCTGATTCTGTGTCTCCCTCTCTCTCTGCCCCTCCCCCGTTCATGCTGTCTCTCTCTGTCCCAAAAATAAATAAACGTTGAAAAAAAAAATTTAAAAAAAAAATAAAAAAAAAAATAAAAAATAATTAATAGTACCATAGGTTGAAGAGTTATATAAATAGGAATACCCACTGGACTTTTTGTTGAGATGGGCCTCAAGTGGTTGAATAAATATCTGTTGAAATGAGTTGAACTACCATACCAAGATCACTATGAGTAGGATTGTGGGAATGGAGAGGTGATCACATTGGATTGAGGAATGATCAGGGGTGAAGAAGACACATTCAGCCAGTAGAGCGTGCAACTCTTGATCTCAGCACATTGTATGTGGAGCCTGCTTTCAATTATATATGACTAAAGCTGGAAAAAATGTTTAATGGAGCATCTAAGAAAGCATACTTTGTTCCTCCTCCTGCTTGGGCTGTAGGTGTGATGGTTGGAGCTCTAAAACCATCTTATAACTGTGAGGTAAACTTAAGATAGAAGCCAGCCACAAAGAATGGAGGATTATTTTATGTAAGAGAAAAATGAGCACCATCAGGTTTAAGTTACTATGTTGAGGGGTCTCTTTCACTATCAGTTGAGTGTAATTCCTGGTTAATACACCCACCACATTCTAAAGATTTTCTAAATCTTTTTTTTTTCCCCCTTAGACTGATTTCTTTCAGTTATTTAAACCTTTATGAGTAATTTACTGGCAATCAGCACTCCTAAGACTCTTCTCAGAAAGTCTTTGAATTTCTTGTTTTGTCTAATATAGAGTGACATAAAACTATTCATAAGTCTGTAACATAGGAAAAAGTAAGTAAAAGTATATGATGAGAATTTTTTTCATTATCATGGTATGGATAGTTATGTTATTTGCTACCCAGAAATACAAGAAACATTGTGTAACCCATAAAGACTAAGGGAAAAACTAATGCAACATTATTTAAGGCAATGGCATAAAAGTGTGCAATTTCACTAAACATATATTGAGTCTTGGAGACTGAATGGAGGCAGCATGAATTTGGTTCATGGTTATAAATCTTGTATTATTTCCTCTTAACTGAGGAGACCAGAATTGGAGGCAGATGTTCCTAAATATCTCTCCTCACTAAGCATTCAGAAAGATTTTTGCATGTGTAGATGTTGTTGTTTTGTTGTACTTTGAAGTTAATTAGTTTTTTTCTGTACTGAAGAGTAATAAAACTGCATTCTGAAAATACATAATTCAGATTTTTTTCATTAACTCAGACTAGCCAGCTCATGGATTAGATGGCATTTAAGATGTTTTATAAAATAAACTATTAGTTTTTACCCAAAAAATGAAAGAGAAAATGAAATGTAGAAGGATAGAGAGAAAGCAAGAAATCCCTAGGCACTAGAGATAATAAATATACATTTAGAAAAGAGTCTGTTTTATCAGTGGTAATGCCTGTTCAAAATTAGATCTGCCTCTTTGGGTTCAAACCACTTTTATAGGGTCATTGAGAAGTCAATGAACTCTGCTAATGATTTTCATGTCTTTAACAAGGATGACATGGCTCTATTTCTATTAGTGGTCATGCTTTTGGATTTGTATATTAAACATATGTTAATATCCCACTTGATGTAGGTCACTTAGGCTTCATTCTTTTAATTTGCGAGACAGTTCTCAAATAATCCTTTTAAACCTGGCTCAGCCAACGATTTTCTGAGAATTTTTTTGCTCTCTGGTAGGCAGCGTTGATGATGTTAGCATTCCCACGGAAGTGTCTTTTATTTTCCTGAAATTGAAAGGTTAAGATCTTTGGAAGGAAATCAGATGTATAAAGTAAGAGTTGAGTTGACAGCCAGAAAGTTGCAGTGGGGGAGAGGGGTTCAAATCTGCCTGAAAATTTGACAGGGAAGGGTTCTCCTAGAGAGTAAATATAGATAGACTTATTTTTTTCTTGCACCTTGTTTTTTGTTTCCACTTTCCTAAGTGGGAAGTTCTGTGTTTTTTTAGTTGCAAAGAATTGGGCTACAAAACTGAAGACTTATAGGTTAAAGTACATGATTGTGGTGTTTAGCTTTATTCTTTTTTAAATTAAAAAAAGTTTTTTCAACTGATTTTACTTATTTTGAGAGAAAGCACAGGAGGGGCAGAGAGAGAGGGAGAGAATCCCAAGCGGGCTCCACACTGTCAGCACGGAGCCCCCTGTGGGGCTCAAACTCACAAACCATGAGATCATAACCTGGGCCAAAATCAGGAGTCAGATGCTTAACCGACTGAGCTGCCCAGGAGCCTCCATTTAGCTTTATTCTTAATGGTCTGCATTTTGCAACATAGATTGTATGATCCAAATTTGCTTACTCAAGTTTTCTCAAGTATTGTGTCATGACTTGAACATTTACCACAGGGAAAGGCACGTAGCTTCAGCTGCCTTTCCCTAGCTTTCATGTAGCAATTTTTCAACAGCTGTTATCAGCAATGCAGCTTCTCAGATGCACATCTGAGTTTACAATTTAGGGACAAATCAGAAAGAGTTCTGAGGTATTTATCCTTAAGATGATGTGGTTAGTTATGCTTCCCTAGAGTCAAATTAAGCCTGAAAATAATCACTAAGCATAAAATACTCCCTTGAATCTGATATATTCCATCAAATAAACCCAAGTTGTTTTTGTCCGTCTCTGTATCAAGTAGGGGGAAAGCTGTGAGGAAGTCTAGATTTGGAGCTTTGGGTCCTGGATTCAAGTTCCTACTCTGCAAGTTGCCACTTGTATAACCATTGGAAAGCCATTCAAATCTCATGTTGTTCAAATTTCTTCATCCATACAAAAGGCTAATAATTACAATTACAATTCTTGGGTGTTTGTTGTGTGCCAGGCATTATGCACATTACATGGATTATTCAGTTAATTCTTTTTTTTTTTTTAATTTATTATTTTCTTTTTATTTATATATGAAATTTATTGTCAAATTGGTTTCCATACAACACCCAGTGCTCATCCCAAAAGGTGCCCTCCTCAATACCCATCACCCACCCTCTCCTCCCTCCCACCCCCCATCAACCCTCAGTTTGCTCTCAGTTCTCAACAGTCTCTTATGCTTTGGTTAATTCTCTTAACTGCCCTTTGAAGTAGACACTGTAATAATTTCCATTGCAAGTCAAGAAGGCTGTGACTAACAAGAGTTAAGGTAACTTCCCCTGAATCACAAAGATTGCAAGGGCTGGAGCTGGAATATGTCCCTGGGAGTTTATCCAATTTGTTTCCAGAAACAATGCTTGCTTTTAACTTATGTATCATGATGTAATTTGTTAAGATTTAAAGGCTATAGAAATGTAAAGTGGTAGCATTTTTATTATAAAAACTTGAACTGTGTAACTGTGAATTGTTTAGTAATGGAGATTGCTTGATATTGGCAGGAAGACCATGAACTGGGAGGCCTTTTGGGTATTCAATCTGTTTATATTCCTCATTTAGGAGGCCTGAGGCACAAAGATTGGATTAGTGCCCTATAGCTGACTCCACCCTGCAGTCTCTTATTCTTGAGAGTATCTTGTGGAATGTACAAAATTTGATCAAAACGTATGAAGTAGGCCTTTTTCTCAGCATAATTCCTATCTGAAAGGGAAAGATAGAATGATCAGATAAAGAGCATACTTCCTATATTCTTACTGTCCAAAAGACAGTTTGTAAATTGCTACTAAGAATATTAAGTTTTGTGTAACATTAACTTGAAAATTTAAAAATTGCTTTCTGAGTTACATCTTAAGCTTTGACTGCACATGCATTACAGTGATCTAATATCTATGTGCTAATTTTGTCATTAATTAGTATGCCCTTGGCATCTGGTACCATATGCTGCAATGTTCCAAAAAAGTTACCATAGCATAGCTTTATTACTGCAAATCATAACATTGGTGATGCATGATTTAGTAAGCACAGTGATATTTGACAGAGGCTTCAAATAATTATTATGGCATATTTAATATGCACTCATCAAAGCCTTCTGAATAGTCTCAGATATGGTAACCAATATAGATGTACAAAAAGGACATTAGAACCACAACAAATATTATCAATAATTTCAGTGAATAAGTATTTTCTATGTGATTTTTGAAGTTTATATCTGTATTTTCATAGAGCCTTATTAAAATGATGCCCTCAGAAATATAAGATCACTCCCAATCACAGAAATAAATGAAATATACGTTTCTAAAACCATTTAATTCCAATTTGGTACATCAATTACTTAGCATGTATTTAAACACATTTCATAAAAACATGTCAGGATATTAATTTCTTTTCCTCAAATACTCATTAGGCTTTTTGTTACACATATGTGTTTCCGTATGCCTTTGAGAGATAGCCACCCCTATATTCTTGTTTTTTCAGGTATGGATGTCTTCGGTTGAGATTAACTGGATATGGTTTCTCATTACAAAGTTAAAACGTTGTGAAGAGGCAAGAGTGAATGACGGCATTACATCACTAACCACCAACCACCATCTTTTGGACTGGTAAGTCATTTTGGTGCCTTGTTTCAGTGACTTGAACCTATTCCCTAACAGAGGTCACAAACCTACTGAATTTCTATATGTTGTACTTTATCCATCTTTTTAAATTTTCTGTTAGAATATGAACGTTGGCTTCTTTTGTGTGTTTCTGTAATCTAAGCAGAAGTAGAGCACACTATTCAATAACTTTTAAACATAAAATCTTTGAAACATATATATATATATTTATGTGTGTGTGTGTGTAAATGGTCTTAGGAAATATAATTGACCTTGATAACTTTATCATAGAAATGAATGAAATCCATTGAATCAATGAAGTCATGTTATACACCTCAGAATGACAAATTTGGGAACTGAATCTGGATCTGCTCTAATGGTACTCTTTGGACTGTGTCAAAGTTTTATGGTTCACTAAGGAGGGACGGGGAGCAGATAAAGATTATGGGAATAATTTTTTTTTTTTTTAGTGGCTAAGGGAACCAAAGTGTCTGAGATGATATCTCTTCGCTTACTGTCTGTCATTGGAACTCACTCTTTGAATATAAAGAATGGGAATAAGTTACCTCTGGCTCTTTATCAATAAATTGGGGTAGTCACCTGCCTTTCCTGCTACACACTAGTTTGTGGGAATCATAAAGGTTCAGTGTAATATCAACAAAAATTCTATTCTAATTCTATCAACAAAAATTTCTATCAACAAAAATTCTGTTTCTATAAATTTGTACATTGACTAAATGTACATGAAAATTATAAAATAATATCTATATATCATATATAGGTGCTACACACACACAACACAACACACACACAACAGTGACCCTTGATTTATGATAGAGACGTAACTGCAAAAGAGTGAGGATGGTTTATCTCAGGGAATAGTGCTATGCAAGTGTATATGAAAAAAGGCAAGGAGGAAATCCTCAATCCACTACTTGGAAACAATTAAGTGAAGTTCTAATTGTGAATTACATGTCTAAGTATGAATGGTAAACAATAAAGCTTCTTGAAGATAATAGAGGATTTTAAATGAAAGTTTATAAAATAGTATCTGAACATCATTAAAAATAAGCTATTAGTAATATTTCATTAAAATTAAAAAATTCTGTTTATCAAAAGACACTTTTAAGAGAGTGAAAAGTCAAGCCATTGAGTAGGGGAATATATTTGCATACATAAGAGTTGAAAACTTTATGTCCAATGTACATAAAGATCTAAAAATAAATAAAAGTGAGACAGATGGTCCAAAACAGAAAATGTATGAGAGGATTGGGCTACCTCTTCACAAAATAAGATCTATAAATAGCCAAAAAATGAAGATGCTCAACCTTATTATTCAGCAGGGAAATGTCACCTAAATATAATATCTACACATTAACCATAATGCTAAATTTAAAAATACTGATAATATCAAGACCTCACAATGGGACTATAAATTATTTAATAATTTTGAAATACTACTTTGTAGTGTTTACCCCATAACCTAAGAATTCCATTCCTAAGTATATTCCCAACGGAAATATGTGCATATGTACACCACAAAGCATGTATAAAAATATTGAGGGTTCAGAATGAAAACCTCCCAAATGCCCGTCAATAGTAGAATTGATGAAGTATGATATATTCATAACTTAGGATATTATATAACAATAAATATGAAATAATCAATGGTAAAGCAATAGTATAGATGAATTAAACAAATATTTTTGGGTGAAAGAAACAGCCAAAAATATGTATTGTATGCTTCCATTTATTTGAAGTTCAAAAATAGGCAAACTTAATCAAGACTATTAGAATTCAGGGTGCTGGTTATCTTTTGGGAGGAAGTAAGGGTAGCAATTGTAGAGTGGCATGAGGGAAGCTTCTGGTGTAGTATTAATGGTATTTTTCTTTACTTTTGTGGTAATTGCACTTGTATGTTCATTTTGTGATACTCCTTGAATTCTGCACATGTGATTTGGACATAATTCTGTGTATATTCTACTGTTTATTATAAACAATTATTTTTAATTTGTTTAAAGTTTTATTTGAATTCCAGTTAGTTGACATATAGTGTAATATTAGTTTCAAGAGTGCAATATAGTGATTCAACACTTCATATAACACTCTGTGCTCATCACAGCAAGTGCATTCCTTAATCCCCATCACCTATATCACCCCTCCCCCATCCACCTCTCTTATAGAGTTTGTTCTCTGTAGTTAGGAGTCTATTTCTTGTTTTTTTTTCCCCCTTTGCTTATTTGTTTTGTTTCTTAAATTCCATATATGAGTGAAATCAGACGACATTTGTCCTTGTTTGACTGACTTATTTCACTTAGCATTATACTCAGTAGCTCCATCCATGTAATTGCACATGGCAAGACTTCATTCTTTTTTATGTCTGAGTAATATTCCTGTGTGTGTGTGTGTGTGTGTGTGTGTGTGTGTGTGTGTGTGTGTACACATCACATCTTCTTTATCCATTCATCAGTCAGTGGACACTTGGGTTGTTTACATAATTTGGTGATTGTAGGTATTGCCACCACAAACATCAGGATGAATGTATTCTTTGAATTACTATTTTTGTATTCTTTGGGTAAATACCTGGTAGTGCAACTGCTGTATAGTAGGGTAGTTCTATTTCTAACTTTTTGAGAAACCTGTATACTGTTTTCCAGAGTGGATGCATGAGTTTGCTTCCCCACCAACAGTGCAAGAGGGTTCCCGTTTCTCCACATCCTCACCAACAGTTGTTTCTTGTGTTGATTTTAGCTATGCTGACAGTCATGAGGTGATACCTCATTGTGGTTTTTATTTAAATTTCCCTGATGAGTGATATTGAGCACCTTCCCATGTATCTGTTGGCCATTTGTATGTCTTCTTTGGAGAAATGTCTATTCATGTCTTTTGCCCATTTCTAATTGGGTTATTCATAAGGCTTATCAAGAGAAGAAGACTTGGGTACTATTTTCACAGACTACTCATAAACTCTTCGGCTTACGACCTTTTCTTGTTTTATATAATTTTCAACTAAGTCAAACTTTGATTTCTGTCTACATATTTCATAACCATGCCTTATATGAAATTAACCCTGTTGCTAGTATTTACTACTATCAGCCAATTCATGGAATCTCTGATATTTGTGACATAGAGAAGAAAGTAGATTTTCAAGGTTTCCTAGGAGGATTTTTGTTTAGCTGTATTTACGTGGCTTAGAGAAGAATATCATTTCTCTACTAAATCATCTACATGAGGTAATTGAGGTTCTAAATGCAATTAACCAGATTGCTAGATTTTTCAGTCCCAGAAATCCAATATACTTGGAGATTTGAGAGTGAGTTGAGAGCCTTATTTCTAAAAGCTTTATTAATTATGAGACTCATTCTTATGGGCTTGGCTGACTAGTTGGTATTGGGAAAGTGGCTGAAGGAAATGGCTTTTATTTACTTCTGATCCATCTATCCCTGAAATAGAATTAAGATATTTATATCTCCAGGCATCTGGAAATGATTTCTCTGAAGTAGCACCCAGGCAAAAATAAAATAAATGCTCTTTCTTTAACTTTTCCCTCTCACGTAAACAATCCAAATGCATACAGTTTATTGAAGGAGACTAAAGACAATATTTAAGTCATCAATTAATATATGGATAAATTTTGAATACCTGCAGCAACTATTTCTAGGCAAAATAAGATATATTGGTATATATTCCTAATGATCTGGTTAGAGATTTCTAATTTTACTTGGAAGAGTTTCAGGGTAAGTGATACTTTTTCACTTTTTTTAATATTCCACATTTGCTTCTAAGGCTGAGTGCAATTTTATATTTGCTGGATTTGTGGCAAGTACAGAAGTAATTATTAACTTAATATAGTTTGTGTAGCCCCCATTTTTGCTGCTTTATATTTCACCCTTCAATTCATTCCAGCTGCTAATTCATACTTTATATATTTCTTCACTCTGTGTTCTTTACCACAAAAGTGATATTTTTGAACAAAGAAATACAATGGCACACAATCCAGCTAGTGTACAATAATCTATGTTTCAGTGCTATATTAGAAATACATTCTTGTAAAAGTAGGGGCAGTGTCCTATTCTTAGTTAAAAAATGGAAACTCTCAGTATGTATACTTGTAAATATCTATTCAAGGACATGGGTTGAGCAAATTTTTGAATACTGCATTTGGAAGTTTTATTAAATAACAAGTTAGTATTGGTATGTGATACACATAGAAATAAAATATATGTAAATTATTATGGAAAAATATTTGATGAGGTCTTAGGAATATAAATGCAATTAATGAAGTTATATCACATTCCTGAAATAATTTTTTATTCAGTCATCTGACATATTGTCAATTATAAAGTATATGTAAAACAATGACTAAAGAAGATAAGATGTATGTTATAGGCCAATTCAACCGGGCTCTTTCCACCGCAATGATGATAATATTATAGTCTTAGTCCAGTGTTTGAATTTTTTAGCAAAAGTCTGGATAGGTTCTGTATCTTCAACTTATGACTCCTATTACTTGAAGGGATTTTAATCATTGCATAGATAAAAACATAACTTAAGGAAAAAAAGCAAAATCATGACTCTCAGGTAAATATAAAATAAACATGTCAAAGACTTTATTTAACTCATTAATTAGTGAAGGGAACTGGTAAGATGTTATGACTCGTTCAAAGAGCACTTAAGAAATTAAGGTATTATTAGGCAATTTATCAAAGAAAATTTAGGGTAAGATTGTTGAGTTGGGTAAAATACTCTCTGATGTCTAATAGGTCATAAATCTTTGGAGTTACATATTCTTGCAGAGAGAAATTATTTTCATTGTTATTGGATAGAAAATCTACAAATTAACAAGTAACTTCAATAAATTTTGGATTTTTAATTAATAATAAACAATGCAATGACCTGAGCACATTCTTGTAGACAATCCTTGGATGGTTTTGCCCCCTCAATATTGAAAGGATGTGTGTTTTAACTTATTTGCCTTCTATCCAAGTTTTGGACAATTTTTCTGA